CCGGCAGCAACAACGCTTTATTGGTTCCGCTATCGGGACGGAACCAATAATGGCGACAAGTTATTTTTTTTTAAATAATAAAAAAAAAAAAGGTCAATTTTAATGTTTTATTTAGATTACAAAAACAAATCGTAATAAAAATAATCCTATTTAACAAAGACCTACGAAAGACTTATTTAAGACATTTTAATACCAATTAAGGCCTTAGTTTTATTTTGAAGAATTCAATGCCTTTTAAGGCTTTTTAAGGACCCGCGGGAACCGTGTGTGTGTGTCGCAGTTAGCGTGTCGCAGGTTTGACGCAGATATTTTTGATTTATGCCCAATATTGAAGCGTGGTCTGCACTATGTTATTCCACGCCACAACGCAAGAACGACAATCAGGAGCTAGCTAGGATTGATGGTGTCCGTGTTACAGTTTGACGAGCTTGTTCGCCGTCTACAACCCCTCATCCAACGCCGGACGACTGGTGTGTTTTGGCTTCATGTTCAAACCAACAGAGCGTCGCACAGAGCTACAAACTAGCACCCTGCACGATGTCTGGGAGAGCGTCCCGGTGTGCCATGCTAGGTGGACGGCACTAAAGCTAGAGTTTCTGCCATTAGGTACCAAACAGGAAATACGCAGTGTGGAGCGGATGTAGAACTGACCAATCAGAGGCCTCCTGTCTTGCGGTCACCTGTAATTTTGGAGAGGTGCAGCAGAGTGTCTGCAGAAGGGGGCGGGGCATATCTGCATTAACTGCGACGCAGACGGCCTGTTTCCTGGGTATAAACCAGCCTTTAATTGATTTGATTCATCGTTTCTAAGTTCGGCTCTGACTTCTTGCAGCTACAACTATTTCCGTGAGGACGAGGAGATCTACAAGGAGTTCTTCGACATCGCAAACGACGTCATCCCCACTCTGCTGAAGGAGACGGCTTCGGCCGACAACCCCGGGGAGGACGGAGACGCAGGACAAGCCAACGACAAGGTGAGCTCTCGTTTCTGGACTTCAGATTTTAACGGGTGAACGCAGACCTGATCTGGATTAGCTTATTTAAAAATTCAGTGTATAACATGGATGCATAAACATCTACATTTTATTTCAATGCTAAATTCTGTTTAAAGTAACCGATTATGTTTAAAAATGTCTCCGAACCTTTACTGGTTGATGATTTTCTGTATTCGTACCCCCCGTGATTTTTAATTGGTTCCCCTGCTCTAGGAGAACAGCAAGCAGCTGGCGGCGGTCTCGGCGCTCCAGGACCCAGAATGCTTTGCTCACCTGCTCCGTTTTTATGACGGTATCTGCAAGTGGGAGGAAGGAAGTCCAACTCCGGTTCTGCATGTGGGCTGGGCCACCTACCTGGTCCAGTCTCTGAGCCGCTTTGACGCTCAGGTGAGAAACCCAGCCTCCAACTTTAATTCAAAAGTGATTAGATGTCATTTTTTATTTGTTCTCTGCTATTAACTAATAGATACGTGTGACATCAGATTGAGGTTATAAACACACCTTACAGTCACAGATTAAAGACGCAGGTCATGACCTTTAGGAGTATGAGTCATGAATTAAAAAAAATCACAGATTTATGAGAAAGAATCTCAAATTTACAGCAAATAAAAAAATCTGGGATTATAAACCAAAACGTTATTACGAATCGCACGTTTGACTTTAAATCACAACTTTACCCACGGTTTTTACTGGTCATTAAAAATTATGAAGGTTTTTTTAAATTAATGCGTTAATTGGCTTTAAAATTCATTGAATTTGATTATCGTGGCATTTAAAGTCGTAGGGAAGCAGCTGTTCCATCCGTCAGGGGGCGGGATTGTTGTGGCGGAACGTTTGTAAGCTATTTTGGTTGTGGCCGGTTTGTGGGAAGCATCTTGCTAACCAGTTAGCAACTTAGTGCTAGCAGGTTCCCAATGGGAAAT